TCAAAGTGCATTGCCACAGTCCCTTTTTGCAACAACACATTTTAGTAAAAATGTTACCAAAAATATTACCAGAAAATTCAAATGCGTATGCTCTACTTTCCATCGCTCTTCGAGCTCGCATGTCAATAAAATACAGAAGCGTCTCAAAATGCTCAGTGGGTGTCCTGGCCCATGCTCGGAAAATGCAGAGGCATCTGTGACGGTACAATTTGTCGTTTTGTACATATTGTCGTCGGCGACAATATGTACCTACCCTCACTGCACATATTGTCGTCCATCTGTACATATTGTCGCAGACTGAAAAGTTACATATGTACATATTGTCGCTGGCGACATTATGTGCCTCACCCTTACTGTACATATTGTCGCCCCAAAGATATTGTTGTTTAAAGGTGTTTTTTGCTGTTTTTTTGGTAGTTTTGTGAATGTAATTCGTGTGAGAATCACACTGACGTGTCTTGTATGCTATTTCTTGCAGCGTGATTGTGACGGTACATTTTGTCGTCCTGTTCATATTGTCGCCGGCGACAATATGTACCTTCCCTCACTGCGCATATTGTCGTCCATCAGTGTTATTGTATATGTTAAGTTAATTATTTAATTATGAAATTTTACCTTTGGACTAAGTATAAACAAGTTAAACAAACAGAATTTACCCAAACCACCAACCAAGGGGGGGGGGGGGTGCTACAATGTACATCTGTCTGGGTCTTTGGTGTTTGAGAAGATTTTTAAAGATTTTCTGTATATATTCCAACGTAAAACTTTGATCACCCATTGTGGCCCCACATTATTCCTGGGGTCATGACTTGAACAAAATTGATTTTTTTTGTTTGTTTTTAGGTAAAAATGTGTTGAAATTGACCCAGTAGTTCTTGAAAAGAAGCTGACATAATTATGAATAGTTTACAGACAGACGGACGGTCAGAGAATGTGATCAGTAAAGCTCGAACTTCCAGTTCAGGTGATCTAATTTTTTTTCCGTTATTCTTATATTATTATTAACAATAAATTATATTTATAATATTATATCGGCACATGATCGTATATAAGAATAATTTCCAAATAATCATTACTACTGAACCAAAAACAAAAAACAAAAAAAAACCCCTGTATTTAATCTCCAAGTATATATTACAAGAAAAAAAGAATAGCTGATTTATCAGATATCTCAAGAATTACGGTATCTTGATATGTCATAGTGATGTACATCAATCCTGGACACAATTTTCTGACCAAAAAGTTTTCTCCCTACAGTATTGCGAGTAATGGTGTCTGTCTCCCTCCGTGCGTGTGTATGTTTGTCAATTTCCCTTTCTTTTCTCAAGTAAATATTCGTCAAAACAATATATCGACGACAATATATACCGACCTTGACTGTACATATTGTCGCCGACGACAATATGTGCTGGTGCTTGACTGTACATTTTGTCGTCCATTATGCAGGAGAAAAATAAGGCTCGTCTCGGTACATATTGTCGCCGGCGACAATATGCACCGATGGACGACAATATGTGCAGTGAGGGTAGGTACATATTGTCGCCGACGACAATATGTACAAAACGACAATATGTACCGTCACAGGCATTGTTTGCCTATGCAACAGATCACGTCACTTTGCACATGCCCAGAAAATACGGAAATCAGCCATGATTGTGCATGCTTAAAACATTATGTCACTGCCAATTCAATGTGAAAAAAAATTATTTCCAATTTAGTATTGCAAATCACTTGAAAAACTAAATGACGAATTTATAAACGGTATTATTATTTTACATTCTTAAAAAAGTTGAGTATTAAAAATATATCTTACTAAAACAATATGTTAGAATTAGTCTTTTTTCAAAATGCTTTCGGATTTCAATACGCACTGCTAGGCGAAGGTTTACAAAAAAGCCTGTATTGTAATAGACAGATGTAACTTTAAACAACAAATTGAAAACTTGAAAAATTTGAAAAAAACCTTGCTCTGACTGTACAAAATTTACATTCAGATATGTTTAACAATGCAATAGTTGCAATATAAATTCTTGCCTATTCTATTTATATGGTACTGGTAATTAAAAACGATATCATTCAGATTTAATTTTTCCATGCATGTGTTACTCTATATTTGATAAAGATTTATTTAATATCATTTTTAGAGATGTAAATCTATTATGAACGAAAGCCAAAGGCTCAAGTGAGCTTTTCTGATCAAACATTATACATGTATGTTGTCTCTTGGCGTTGTTTAAAACTATTCATTTTCATCTTCTATTCAAGAAAATCTAAGCCAATCTAAAATAAACTTGGCCTCCAAAGTATCCTTGAGTAAAGGGAATTCATATTTGATCAAATTGAAGGTCTTGCCTTCTTTTAAGGAGGGATATTCAAGAAAAAGCATACATGTAAAAAGGATGGGTATCTTTAAAAATCTTCTTTTCAATAGCCACTGGACCATTGGACACCGCGGAGTCTGATATTATATCTGCTTCATATTTGGATATTTCATTAGAGAAAGACACTGACTGCAAATTAACGACTATACTTAATGATAAATGTGATGTCTTCAACCTTTTCATCGCCAGCTTCCCTTATTAACAATTTCTAAAATAAAGCGGACCACAGACAAATGTGATATCTTCAACTTTTTCATCGTCAGCTTCTCTTATTTGTTTAGCAATATACCGTTATCACCTGCATATGGGGTTTATGTCTCCCAATTGATTCGATGCACATGAGATCTCACTTCGTACGAACAATTTTTTAAAATGAAACGGACCACAGACAAATAAGTTGAAGATACAAGGATATATACAATTTGGTTTAAAGTGAACATTTTGCAAATTCTATGGTAGTTTCAATGACATTGTTTTCAAATACAATCTGTCGTTTTGTCGAATGTTGACTGATGTCTTTCGTACAAATTGTTAGGCCATTTTTTTTTTATACCGAAATGACAACGGATTACTCTGTTTACCCGATCAAGACAAAGGGCACACTGCAGATGAGACAGTTCGACAGGGGATGCTTACTCCTCCATAGCACCTGATCCTACCTCTGATGTTTTCAGAGGTCCGTTTTTGCTCTAGCTGCTCACAATTTGTATTATTTCACTGGAATTTTTTTAGCATGGTTACTGTACGTTACCCTCATATTTCCTTACTATTAGCTCAGACCAAAGATAAAAGATTTTGATTATTTTTTTTAATGTTGAACATTACAATACACGTATCTTGGCCGGGGCATTTATGTCCCATGGAATATTTCTCGTAAGGTCTTTAAGTATATCTATGCATGCCACATGTATGATTAAACAGTAATTATGTAGTGTATAAAAAAGTACATGTTCCTTTGGTACTATTAACTTTCATTTATTTTTTTTAATGTTGAAGTATTTCCTGCTATAGGAATATCTGTAAAATGTAAGATTCTAAATCTTGTATCCAATCCTAAGAGTTCTTTGAAAACAATAATATGATCTTCAAAACAAGCACCGTATTGAAATGACATTTACATTGAAAAATACCATTTTCTTGAACTAATGACAAAAAAGTTCTATAATTACAAAGAACGAAATCGTCCACATGTATTCTTAAACAGGTCGTTATATAATTTGCTTTTTAAACTAGTGAATTGTGTTCTATGCTTTTTAAATCCGGCTATTATGATTTTATTGTTTACCAAGATACAGCTTGCAGAGGGCAGTCAGATTTTGGAATGTAGTTTGCAGTTCACTTTTCACAATTCAAGTGAACTACCTTCTAGAATGCAGTTTACAATTCAAAATGCACAAATTTTAAGAATTGAATTGCTTGTAATCAAAAACACAAGTAAAGATACGATAATTTTTTGCGTAATAAAAATTCTTTCATATCTATTTTCATAATTATTTACGATTGATATTTTGTTTTGTAGTACTTAGTTGTTCCCCTTTTTGGCACGAATAACAACCTTAATGCGACTATGCATGTTCTGAGTGAAGTTTTCAGAGACCTTTTTTAGAATTGAGAACTATTACCACTGGAATGCCTTTTACATATCTTTATTTAGTCGATGACATATTCTGAGCAAAGGTCTTCTGAACTCGATCCCCAATGTTTCACACTGGTTTAAATAAGGACTTTTTCCTGGCCTAGGAAGTGTAGAAACTGTTTTATGTTTGAGAAACTGACTTTTGTTTTTAATTATGGTACAGTGCGTACTGTTGAAATACAAATCATTTTCTGGAATCTACCTACATTGTAGCAATCACACGGTCATGATAATAACATCTTTCTGTATATCTTCTTGAGATGAAAGATGAAAATATCAAACAGTATAAAGCTGATCATAAAATTCTTTTGAACGATTTTAACAATTTTATGTTTAAGTTCTGATTTAAATAAAATTAAATTAAAAACATTTGAAGACGAATCAAGAAGATCATTTTTTCAATATGCCAACTACTAAAAACGATACGGAAGGCACTGTAATGGTCATTGTATTCAATTGCTAAATGTTCTCTGAAATTTAACTCAGAACATGCCTAGTTGTACCAAGGCGTCTCTTGGTGCAAAAGCAGAAGTAAACACTACTTAGTAAAATATTAAACAAAATCTCTAAAAAGGAATTCGCAGAAACTGATATATTTTGTTTGCGTCTTTGTTGCTAAGTATAACATTACTTTCAAAATATGCATTTAACCTGCTCATCAAAGCATGTTAGGTTAAGAAGTTTTTTTTAAACCTGTTTGTCAATCTAATATGTGGATTTCATTTTTTAGTCTATATGCCCTTTACATCTATGTTACAGGTGGTCTGGGGCAACAAGAATATTTCCGGTCTCATTAAATATAGACTTGTCTCAGAGAGAGAGAGAGAGAGAGAGAGAGAGAGAGAGAGAGAGAGAGAGGTTTTAGTATTGTGGATCAAGTGAGTGTTTAGGATTTGTGCCTCCTGTTTTTATAATTAGTGGTAATTAATGCCTTTGTAATCTTTACAAACTTTGATGTATTATTTCTTTAAAATAACAGATGATGAGGAACAAGTTGTTCTTTAATTGCTGTAAATACAAAGTTCTATCGTATCCAGTCTAGCGGATCACCATCTCCAGCTGGAATAAAAAGAAAAAGAAATCACAATGTTGAAAATAATTCACTACATTCAATTTCTAATTAATTTATATTATTACAGTATCTTATTTGAATCAGTCTTTCTTAAAAAAAACACAACAAAAGTCTGTTTTTAATGGTTGAGTCAAAAATGAGGTATATTAGAGAGGAGAGTGAAAAACCAAGGAATACTAAAAAAAATCGTGTTTGTTTGTAAAGTTAATAAAATCCCCACATTTGATCACCTATGAAGTTTTAAAACTCTGTTATATGGAACGCCATAGCTGCCTGAAGGTCATTTTCATTTTATATGAGGTGGGATAACCTTTATGTGAAGTGGTTAAGTCATTATATATAGTGGTAAAATCATTATATTCAATGAAAACTTTATTATATGCAGTGGTTTTATCATTATATATAGTGATAAAATCATTATATTCATTGATAACTTTATTGTATGCAGTGGTTTTATCATTATATTCAGTGGCAATGTCATTATATGTAGTGGTTAAATAATGTAATGAAGTGATAATATCGATATATTATGTTGTAAAATCATTATATGCAGTGGTTTTTCCATTATATACATTACTGAAATCTTTCTGTGATGTGATGAATTCAATATATACAGTACAAACATAATTTGTGTGATAAAGCAATCATTACATTGTATGAAACCCACTGCATGTGGAGTGCCAAGTTAATTTCATTCAGTGCGACACCTTTACATGAAGTGAAAAATCTATTATGTGCAGTACTAACATCATTATATTATATAGTAAAATTATTATATATATTCCTAAAATCATACTTTGCAGTGGTAACATCTTTATATGAGGTGGTTAATTAATTATATGATGTTGTTAATTTGTTATATGATGTGGTCAAATCTTTATATGCATTAGTCGTTTCATGTTATGCAGTGGTAACTTCTTTATCATCATCTAAACTGGTCCTCTTGCAAAAACATTTTTAAAAAAGTGCGCGGAGTTCCAGTTTAAAGAGTGTTTGAAAATAGGAAACCCGGGTCGTGGCAAATTAAAAGCCGGGACTATTCGAGATTTTTAAAATTTCTGATTTAAAATTTTCAGACTCTTTTTTTAGGCTAATGTGTTTTCGCTGTAAAAATTGTATTTAAATACTTGGTATTTTAGATTTTCTTGACGATTTTTGGTTTCAAGTAAAATTGGTAGGCAGTTTCAATTTTCTGATTTAATATTTTATCTATTGTGCTAGAAGTACTTAGTATTTTAGATTTTTTTTTTTTTTTTTTTTTTTTTTTTTTTTTTTTTTTGGCGATTGTTGATTTCCATGTTGGTAAAATGGGTAGACTGGGTTGGCGATATTTTATGTGTGTGTGTTTTTTTGACATATTTGATAAAAATCTAATAAACTTAAAAATTATTCCTATGTTAAACACTGTATTTTAACTAAAAAAAAAAATCTATTAATTTTTGATAGTTATTTCTTTATTTGAAAATGCTATTTTTATGCAAAATACACATTTTCATTAGAAAAAGGATTATTAAACCAGATCCGATCATCCGGGAAGAACCTGGTGCAAAACACCATAAATCATTTCTAATTTCATAATATGCAAATGTGCACTGGTACATGTATCTATATGCTAGTAGATGGAAGGAAACTGGATTACGTTAAATATGTAATTTGTTTAATACTTTTTTCGGGGGGGGGGGTGTTAAATTACTAATATCAACTATTTATAAGACTGTTTCTAAGACTTCAGAAAACCTTAAATCACATTGAAATGCTTAAAATAAAAATTGCTGCATGAAAACATTTCATTTTCAAGTTTCATCTTTGCCGTCGCCAACGTGGCACGGTGATCAGAGTGTCTGCTCTAAGAGACGCGGAATAAGGAGTCAATCCTTACATCACGGGTTCGATTCCGACAGTGGGACGTTGAGACCGGTCCTTCGTAAGAGACCGCATAAAGCCATAAACCGAGGTCCCGTGCCACAGTAGGTGTTGGAACGAAAAAAATCCCTCACTGCTCAATGGCCGTAAGTGCCAAGTATAGGACAAAATTTGCAGCTCTCCACTGGCAAATTGTGGCGTCTCCATATGAGTGAAAAATTCTCGAGAGGGACGTTAAACAGCAAACAAACAACCAAATTAAAATCATTTTAGCCTTTTTGAATAAAATGATAAAATTAAGAGTTATCCTTCAAGGCTGAGGATCGGATATCCTTAAACCAAGCAACTTACGCGTGATTAAAGTTTGACACAAGGCTTTGCATTAATAGTCCTATAATTACATGTATATGTGATAATACTTTAATTAATTTATATTTTATCAAATGACATGAAGATAATGAACAAGTATCTCGGATTTTTTATTTTTGACTTCCGGGAGATCAAATCCGATTTTAATGAACCATTGGCGTCGGAAGGAAATTGATAGTGGTGTGGCTAATTGAAATAGAAAAAAATCAAACCTGAAAAAAAAAACTTGACAAGCCAAAAAAAAAAAAGGAAAATTGTTCTTTCTCCAAACCCGAAAATCCTATTTCGGGGTGTGTGGGTGGGGGTGGGGGGGGGGTGGGGGGTCGAACATTTTTCAGTACCAAATTCTTTTAAACACTACCAATTACCCTTCTTTCACTACAATGAATCGTGCCTGTAGAAAGTGGGGAGGGGCGGGGGCTAGACCTACGCCCGAATTTTCAATGCCTATATTATGTCTACCTTTGTAAAAAAAAAAAAAGGGGGGGTAAACCCCCCCCCCCCCGGTTCCGACGTCTATGTGAACCGGTTTTTCTTAAACGTGTCATTTCACTCAAAAAATGCCTTTCAAAGAATGAATAATTTTTAACATCAGAATAATTTAAAAGTTTATTAGCTTTCTGTCAAATATGGCCAAAAAAAAAAATAAAAATAAAAAAAAACAAAAAAACAAAAAACAACAAACAAACAAAACACGTAAAATGTCTACTTGATTGCCTACCCGATTTACCAACCTCACGGGCGGATTCAGAGAGGGCCTATGGGACCCCCCCCCCCCTTGTGTCCAAAATATACACAAGATTTAATAAAATCAATTGTTTTTTGGTTTGGCTGTGGGCTACCTACCCCGACCAAAAACTTGTCGGGCCCCCCTTTTCAAGATTCCTGGATCCACCACTGAACTTGGAAATAAACAATCGCCAAGAAAATCTAAATTACTAAGTATTTTAAAATTAAGTGCAATTTTTACAGCGAATACACATTAACCTATAAAAATGAGTCTTAAAATTTCAGCACAGTTGATAAAATCAGGAAGCTGTATAATAGAATCAGAAATTAGAAAAATCTCGAATAGCCCCGGCTTTTAATTTGCCACGGCCCGGGTTTCCTATTTTCAAACACTCTTTAAACTGGAACTCCGCGCACTTTTTTTTAAATAAAAGGACCAGTTTAGATTATGATAAAGAAGTTACCACTGCATAATATGAAACGACTTATGCATATAAAGATTTGACCACATCATATAACAAATTAACAACATCATATAATTAATTAACCACCTCATATAAAGATGTTACCACTGCAAAGCATGATTTAAGGAATATATATAATAATTTTACTATATAATATAATGATGTTAGTACTGCACATAATAGATTTTTCACTTCATGTAAAGGTGTCGCACTGAATGAAATTAACTTGGCACTCCACATGCAGTGGGTTTCATACAATGTAATGATTGCTTTATCACACAAATTATGTTTGTACTGTATATATTGAATTCATCACATCACAGAAAGATTTCAGTAATGTATATAATGGAAAAACCACTGCATATAATGATTTTACAACATAATATATCGATATTATCACTTCATTACATTATTTAACCACTACATATAATGACATTGCCACTGAATATAATGATAAAACCACTGCATACAATAAAGTTATCAATGAAAATAATGATTTTATCACTGTATATAATGATAAAACCACTGCATATAATAAAGTTTTCATTGAATATAATGATTTTACCACTATATATAATGACTTCACCACTTCACATAAAGGTTATCCCACCTCATATAATATGAAAATGACCTTCAGGCAGCTATGGCGTTCCATACTGTTAGGTTTTGGTCACATTAGTCAGCAATGTAAATAAACTTACGTCCTTTGCATGTACAAGTGGGACATCCATTGATGTACACTCTGCCGAACGGACAATAATTCGCACATACTGGTGGACAACCTGTAGGTTATCAAAAGTAAAGTACACTGTATATAATCTTTATGAATAATATCAAACATAAACAAAAGTATATAATCTGTAGGGACGTGGCAAACATTGCCAAAAGTGAAGTATATCATCTGTAAGATGATAACAAACAATGTCAAAAGGGAAGTATATATTCTGAAGGGATGATGTCAAACGTTATAAAAAAGTAAAGTATATAAGCTGTATGGCAAATGTTAACAAAAGTGTATTATCGAGTGGGGTCTGTCAGCTAACATCCGCAACTGTACTCGGCAGTGCTGGTACCGGACATCCATGACTGTACCTGCTCACTAATATCAAAAACGGAATGTCAGAGCAAGATTTTCCGGATTGTTCAACATATTAAACTATATGTTTTTAATTAAGTATGGATTGTTTTTTAATGAAAAATACGAAATGTGTTAATATGGAGGAAAGAAAATTTCTGATTTTAAATAAATCTACTTTATGGAAGGCTGTAATCGCCAAAACGGTAACGGTAACTGGCTTAGTGAATATATCGCGGAAAATATATGTAAACTTGACTATGCCTAAATTTTGTATATCTATGACTGTATACCTGTGCCTGATATACACCATCTGCGACTGTACCTGTGCCGTACATACACACTACCACTGACTCAAGCCGCGCTTGATTAATAACATCCACGACAAAAAATCCTGTGGATTTTCTCCGATTTAAATTTAGACTGAATTCAATTAAAGCGCAATTAACGCTATATATAATCTTTATATTACCCATGACAGTGATACCGAGACAAACGATGTCAGCAGTGATTAGGGAAGGATCCAAAACTTTTACAGATTTGAATTTAAAGCTTTATGTTCAGAGTACAATATGAGCCAGGTCTTTAATTTTTTTTTCGGGGGGGGGGGGGGGGGGGCTGGGGGCATGATTTCAATATCCTACTACGTGCTCAATAATAATGATGAATTTAAAATGAAACATCCTAGTATAATTATAGAAAATATACGAGTAAACAATAAACAAAGTAAAATAAAAAAGAAATTAAAATACATATTGAAATTAATTTGTAATCCTTAATTTTATGTTAGAAAGTATAAGTACGTCACAATATTATTAATTTCACCCATTTCATTGATCACGCAAGTGGTGTCAATGAAAAGCACAGGTTTTTTTCCCATAAATATAAATTTGTATGTCTTACGATATATATTAGTGGAATGGGCTGATCCACCCGTTTTCAATGTGTTATATATAAACATCTCAAGTGCACCCCAGGAAGTAGCCTCCTATGCCCTGAAAAAGAATAGTTCCTGACAAAAAAATTATTTATTTACAAAGTACATAAAATTTACTAGGCACAGGTATCAAAGTTGTAAAAATAGGCTGGAAGACACCCCCCCCCTCCCAAAAAAAAAATTCTCAAAAGAAATAAAAATTAATTTTATATGCATGGAACAATTAACATCTTGACTGGTCGATAACCGTGGCGTGATACCTGAAATATGCAGGGTATGGTATTAAAATAATTGCTCATATTAAAGGAAATTAATGCTATAATTATCGATAACATCCGAAGAAAATATTTGTATAAGTAAATATTTTTATTAGATCCGCCTCTCTAAGATTCTGCAATCAATTGTCTGGAATCAATCTATAGGGAATATCGGTGAATAGCGTTAATAGCACCTTTATTGTGTTCAGCTCAAAGAAAATCGTAAGGAATTTTTTGGGATGCAACATCCACAACTGTACCTGTCCTGACAACTCTGGAAATTTTACACCATGACTGTACCGGTGTCTGACTGACAACATCCACGACTGTACCTGTCCAGTACACACACTTTATTCTACATCCATGACTGTGCCTGTGCTTATAAACAACATCCATGACTGTATCTGTCCAGTACACACACTTTATTCTAGATCCATGACTGTACCTGTGCCTTATAAACAACATCCACGACTGTATCTGTCCAGTACACACACTTTATTCTACATCCATGACTGTACTTGTGCCTTATAAACAACATCCACGACTGTACCTGTCCAGTACACACACTTTATTCTACATCCATGACTGTACCTATGCCTTATAAACAACATCCACGACTGTATCTGTCCAGTACACACACTTTATTCTACATCCAACACTGTACTTGTGCCTTATAAACAACATCCATGACTGTACCTGTGCAGTATACACATCTAACTCTACATCCCTGACTGTACCTGTGCCTTACAAACAACATCCACGACTGCACCTGTGCAGTATACACATCTAACTCTACATCCATGACTGTTCCTGTGCCTTATAAACAACATCCACGACTGTACCTGTGCAGTATACACATCTTACTCTACATCCATGACTGTACCTGTGCCTTATAAACAACATCCACAACTGTACCTGTGCATATATACATACTTTATTCTACATCCATGACTGTACCTGTGCCTTATAAACAACATCCACGACTGTACCTGTCCAGTACACACACTTTATTCTACATCCACAACTGTACCTGTGCCTTATAAACAACATCCACGACTGTACCTGTGCATATATACATACTTTATTCTACATCCCTGACTGTACCTGTGCCTTATAAACAACATCCACGACTGTACCTGTCCAGTACACACACTTTATTCTACATCCATGACTGTACCTGTGCCTTATAAACAACATCCACGACTGTATCTGTCCAGTACACACATCTTACTCTACATCCCTGACTGTACCTGTGCCTTATAAACAACATCCACGACTGTACCTGTCCAGTACACACACTTTATTCTACATCCATGACCGTACCTGTGCCTTATAAACAACATCCACAACTGTACCTGCGTACATGTATGACACACACTACAGCTATGACTGTACCTATGCCTTATAAGCAAGATTTACACACAATAAACTTCTCAGGGTTTAAGAGGTACGTATTGTATACTGTATTTGGACCATCCTACCATAAAAAACAACAATATTTAAACAATTTTCTTTCACTCACAAATTTTGATATTTAAGTGTGTACTTGACTCCTAAAATTTGACCATGAAAATCAATTAGAATCAAGTTCGAGACACAATTAATCATCAGTGTACAGGTGGAAAACTCAAAGCTATAAGTCAACATATAGCCAATTACTATTATTAATTTTAATTAATTTTAATAAACATTTGTCGTATACGTTTGACGTATAATCAGTTGTAAACTATGATAATAATACCCCGCAACTTTGGGGTTGGCACAGAAGAAGGTGTAAAAATGTTTTCATAGTTGAAAACATTTTAGGATGGAATAGTGCATTTTATCGTGTTAACAAAGAAAGACCTATCGAAAATAATTATTGCAGTACATGTAATACTATATGTATCTACACTTCACAATTCAATGTTTAAATGGCATTCAAAAGAATTAAAAAAACAAGAAGTCTGTGAGCCAATGCTCACTAGTAATACCCCCGCTTTGACGTGAATGTACACAAGTTCAGTTATGGACAGAGACAAGAATGAACAAGAAGTTGACATCAGATTCGTACAAAAATGAATCCTACAATATGGCATGCCTAAACAAAGAGTGTGCTAAAATTTCAAGCATCTGCGATGAGTAGTTGCTGAGAAAACTGTGACGAAAATTTTGTTACGGACAGGCAGACAGACTGACACACAGACAGACGGACAGACAGACAGACACACAAGGGTAAAACAGTATACCCCCCTTTCCTTCGGAGCGGGGGTATAATAACCCAATGATGAAACATGACATAAACAGGAGGGGATCGGAAAATGAGGAAAAAGTTGGACTTTTTTTCATGTGCTTAAGAGCCCTCTATACACTGCACACTAAAGAGTTCTAATTTTGTGGTACATTTATGCAAATAGAGTAATCTGCCCTTTCAATAAGAACAAGCATTCTGAGAGTATTGCATTAGCAATACTAGTCCCCTACCGGCAAGTGTAATCTGGTTCCCGTTAAAAATTGAAAATGCCATAATTCCGTCAAAAATCAATGAAGCGGAACGAAATGCAAACTTCATCTATAACTCATCAAGGTAAAGTCACATACCAAAAATCAGCTCAATATCTGTAAACGTTTAGAAAAAAATGCGGAAAACCCCGAAAAAATGAAAAGGTCGTAATTCCGTCAAAAAGCACCGAAGCGGAACGAAATGCAAACTTGATCTGTAACTCATCAAGATACACTCACATGCCAAAAATCAGCTCATCAATATCTGCAAGCGTTTAGAAAAAAAAGTGCGGAAAACCAAGTGGGACAGACAGACAGACAGACAGACCGACAGACGGACGGACAGACTCAGAGGAAACCTATAGTCCCCTCCGGCTTCACCGGTAGGGGACTAATAAAATAAATTGAAACCGGAGGGGACGATAGGTTTCCTCTGAGTCTGTCCGTCCGTCTGTCTGTCAAACTGTCCGCCTAGCTGTCACTCTGTCCCACTTGGTTTTCCGCACTTTTTTCTAAACGCTTGCAAATATTAAGCTGATTTTGGTATGTTAGTGTGTTTTGATGAGTTACAGATCAAGTTTTTTATTTCGTTCTGCTTCATTGATTTTTGAGGGAATTACAATCTTTTTAATTTTTAAGGGTTTTCCACACTTTTTTCCCAAACGTTTGCAGATATTGAGTTGATTTTTGGTATATGAGTGTATCTTGATGAGTCACAGATCAAGTTTGCATTATGTTCCGCTTCAATGATTTTTTGACAGAATTACAGCATTTTCAATTTTTAATGGGAACCAGATTACACTTGCCGGTAGTGGACTAGTATAGTTAATGCAGAAAGCTTGTCTCAATAGCTTTAATACGCATGCTTGAATAAACCATATGATAGCAAGAATGATAGTAAAATTCTGCCACCTATCGCAGAGTTAATTTAGAAAGTTGACATATTGGAATGATTTTTTCATATTCATATACCGAATATTTATGTGAATTTTATCAAAAAACATAACTTACTTGGGAAAACAAAGAGAGATAAGTCTATAATTTTGGTAAAACTTCATCTCTATAGAAATCAACGGAAAATATTTTTACCCCCCCCCCTTCACTGAAACAACAATTCCTTTTAAAGTATTATGAATTGTTATTTCAGAAATTCAAATTTATACCAATTGTTTCTTGTTTCAGGGGAGTGGGTTGTTGTTGGGGGGGGGGGGGGTATGAGGGTGTAGAACATATATTTACATACTAAAAGCAGCAAAAATAGTCATTTTATTGCCAATGAATCTAATATGTCAGTTGACTTTTACATAAGTTAAACATACGGAGAGATTTGATGGTTATTTATCCATTTCCATGAGTATTTGAAAATCTGGATCACTTGTTATGTTTAAAACCCGATTTCAATTTATAAAATTGTCTTACCCTTCCCCCTCTTTATGAGAAGAGTTTTAAATGAGCAGTTAACTTTTTGACACTGGTTTTAAAATAATTAAGCCATTACCTATAAACTCTTCTACAATAATAATAAAACTTGGCAGAAGTTGTGAAGGCGAGGATGGAGTATATCGAAAGAAGGAGTATTTCCTCTTAAAAAAAAAAAGACTAAATCCCAAGCTTTCTTGCAGGCATATATGATTCAATTTTTTGACGGGGTGGGGGTTGCATTGGGGGTGGGGGTTCGGGTCACAAACGACAAAAGGACAAACTTTTAGTAGAGCCTTGAGTAACTTTTCTTGGATGTTGTTAATAACGCAAAGATGCAGTCATGGAAGTAGAATAAAGTGTTTGTACTGGACAGGTACAGTCGTGAATGTTGTTTTTAAGGCACAGGTACAGTCATGGATGTAGAATAAAGTATGTATATATGCACAGGTACAGTCGTGGATGTTGTTTATAAGGCACATGTACAGTCAGGGATGTAGAATAAAGTGTGTGTACTGGACAGGTACAGTCGTGGATGTAGAGTAAGATGTGTATACTGCACAGGTACTTTCGTGGATGTTGTTTATAAGGCACAGGTACAGTCATGGATGTAGAATAAAGTGTGTGTACTGGACAGGTACAGTCGTGGATGTTGTTTATAAGACACAGGTACAGTCAGGGATGTAGAATAAAGTGTGTGTACTGGACAGGTACAGTCGTGGATGTTGTTTATAAGCACAGGTACAGTCATGGATGTAGAAAAAAGTATGCATATATGCACAGGTACAGTCGTGGATGTTGTTTATAAAGCACATGTACAGTCAGGGATGTAGAATAAAGTGTGTGTACTGGACAGGTACAGTCATGGATGTTGTTTACAAGGCACAGGTACAGTCATGGATGTAGAGTAAGATGTGTATACTGCACAGGTACAGTCGTGGATGTTGTTTATAAGGCACAGGTACAGTCATGGATGTAGAAAAAAGTATGCATATATGCACAGGTACAGTCGTGGATGTTGTTTATAAAGCACATGTACAGTCAGGGATGTAGAATAAAGTGTGTGTACTGGACAGGTACAGTCATGGATGTTGTTTACAAGGCACAGGTACAGTCATGGATGTAGAGTAAGATGTGTATACTGCACAGGTACAGTCGTGGATGTTGTTTATAAGGCACAGGTACAGTCATAGATGTAGAATAAAGTGTGTGTACTGGACAGGTACAGTCATGGATGTTGTTTATAATGCACAGGTACAGTCATGGATGTAGAATAAAGTGTGTGTACTGGACAGGTACAGTCATGGATGTTGTTTATAAGGCACAGGTACAGTCAGGGATGTTGTTTATAAGGCACAGGTACAGTCAGGGATGTTGTTTATAAGGCATGGGTACAGTCAGGGATATTGTTTATAAGCACTGGTACAGTCAGGGATGTAGAATAAAGTGTGTGTACTGGACAGGTACAGTCGTGGATGTTGTCAATCAGGCACCGGTACAGTCATGGTGTAAAATTTCTAGAGTTGTCTGGACAGTACAGCAGAATCTTAGAGAGGTGGATCTAATAAAATATTTACTTATACAAATATTTTCTTCGGATGTTATTGATAATTATAGGATTAATTTTCTTTAATATGAGCAATTATTTTAATACCATACCCTACATATTCCAGGTATCACACCACGGTTATCGACCAGTCAAGATGTTAATTGTTTCATGCATATGAAATTAATTTTTATTTCTTTTGAGAATTTTTTTTTTTTTGGGGGGGGGGGGGGGTCTTCCAGCCTATTTTTACAACTTTGTTACCTGTGCCTAGTAAATTTTATGTACTTTGTAAATAAATAATTTTTTTTTGTCAGGAACCATTCTTTTTCAGGGCATAGGAGGCTACTTCCTGGGGTGCACTTGAGATGTTTATATATAACACACTGAAAACGGGTGGATCAGCCCATTCCACCCGTAAATATCGTAAGACATATATTTATGGGAAAAAACCTGTGCTTTTCATTGACACCTCTTGCGTGATCAATGAAATGGGTGAAATTAATAATATTGTGACGTACTTATACTTTCTAACATAAAATTAAAGATTACAAATTAATTCCAATATTTATTTTAATTTCCTTTTTTATTTCACTTTGTTTATTGTTTACTCATATATTTTCTATAATTATACTAGCATGTTTCATTTTAAATTCATCATTGTTATTGAGCATGTAGGATATTGAAATCATGCCCCTAGCCCCCCCCCCCCCCCCCCAAAAAAAAAAATAAAGACCTGGCTCATATTGTACTCTGAACATAAAGCTTTAAATTTAAATCTGTAAAAGTTTTGGATCCTTCCCTAATCACTGCTGACATCGTTTGTCTCGGTATCACTGTCATGGGTAATATAAAGATTAGCGTTAATTGCGCTTTGATTGAATTCAGTCTAAATCTAAATCGGAGAAAATCCACAGAATTTTTGGTTGTGGATGTTATTAATCAAGCGCGGGTTAATTTAATCAAGCGCGGGTTGAGTCAGTGGTAGTGTGTATGTACGGCACAGGTACAGTCGCAGATGTTGTATATCAGGCACAGGTATACAGTCATAGATATACAAAATGTACGCTGTAGTAAATGTTACTTTTTAGAGATAATAGCGATCTACATGATCTATGCAATGGATTTAGGCATAGTCAAGCTTACCATGGCCGTAGGAACCGGGGGGGGGGGCACAGGGGGGCCGTGCCCCCCCCCCCCAATAATTTTGCCGATCTATATAGATTACCATATTAATCATAGATACTATATGCTTGTGCCCCCTCAATAGAAACGTCTGATGACCTTTTTTTTTTGTTTTGTTTTGTTTTTTTTTGCTTGTCAGGAAATTTTTGGTAGTGTCAACTGAAAAATGTATGGCTGTGCCCCCCTCCCCCCCCCCCCCCAAAAAAAAAACTGAAATTGCTTCCTACGGGTCTGCTTACAAATATATTTTCCGCGATATATTCACTAAGCTAGTTATCGTTACCGTTTTGGCGATTACAGCCTTCCATAAAGTAGATTAATTATTAACACATTTCGTACGTTTCATTAAAAAAACAATCCATACTTAATTAACAACATACAGTTTAATACGTTGAACAATCCGGAAAGTCTTGCTCTGAAATTCCGTTTTTGATATTAGTGAGCAGGTACAGGCATGGATGTCCGGTACCAGCATTGCCGAGTACAGTTGCGGATGATAGCTGACAGCCACTGTTGGTATTATCTGTAGTGACGATAGCAAACATTTTCAAAAGTGAAGTACGTATATCCTTTTCAGTTAATACAGAGCAATGTATGATTTTATTTTCGAAATTCCTCGCACGATTACAATTGTTTACATCATTATAAACAAGATTTGTTAGTGAAATACTGATGACCCCGCATGGCAGCTTTAAGGTAAAGTTTCTCAAATGCAAGTCAAACTCTAACGTCAAGATCAAGAGATCAAAAAGTTGATACCCAAAGAAAAGTCTTGTCTCAAGGCCTTAATATAACTTTGAAATATGAAGACCCTAGCATCAACCGTTCAAATGTTATGGCCAAGGTTAAAGTTTTCGAAAAAAGTAAGTCAAACGTCAAAGTCAAGTTCAGATGGGAAAAAAACATTAATGGTGCCCAAGGGGAACGTCTTGTCACAAGAAATACGCATGTGAAATATGAAAGAACTAGCATCGTCCATTCAACAGTTATGGCCAAGGTTAAAGATTTTAAAAAGTAAGTCAAACTCCAAGGTCAAAAATATTTATACAAAGGAAAGGTCTTTTCACAATGAATATACACATGTGAAGTAGAAAAGCCCTAGCGCCAACTGTTCAATAGTTCTGGTCAAGGTTAGAGTTTGGTAAAATTTTGAAAAATGGGTCAAACTCCAAGGTCAAGAGGTCAGATATGTTGGTATTATATGAAAAGTTTTGTCATGTGCAATATGAAAGCTATAGCTCTTACCAATTGAAAGTTAAGGGCAAGGTTAAAATTTTACGGACGAACAGACAGACAGACGGACGGACAGGGCAAAAACTATATGCCCACGAATCTTCGATTATGGGGGCATAAAAATTGTATGCAATTTCTCATGAATTTCACACAATTCATAGGATAATGTTATACATGCAAAGCGAAATTTTTGTTTTAATTAAAACCTGTACATATTTTGTGGGTGGTCAAAAGTATATTATTGATAATTATTTTTTTTTTCCTTTTGCTATTTGTCTCAGCGTGTTCATTTTTCAAAACATAAATGATTAGAGTAGAAAGGGTCAGATGTAGATTCTGGGTCAAATAGATAAAAGAATCGAATATTTCAAAAATCCTTAATTAAGTAAAGTATTTTGAAAGACACTTACCCCCAGGAAATCTTATTACACGTCCCTCAGAACAAGTCACGTACAAAAGTCCGAAAATTAGGAAAATTGAGAAAAGTTTCAGATGCTTCATTCTTTAATGAAATAGTTTTTCTGACACAGTATCAACCATCCCCCACCACTTTATAGGTACGATTATTTTTTTTTCCCTTGGGCCTCTATTTTGATAAATGTTTGTTATTCGGACACAATCCCAAATTACGTATCAGATATAAATTTGGTGAGTTGGTGATAAATTTGTTGGACAGTGACTTTTGACAGGTGACTGTGGGACAATTTAAACATAATTCAAATCGATATCATTGCTTTTAAAAATTATGATATATAATCATAAATACTTAATTATAAAACAGCAATAATTTGTCGACCTTATTTTATAGTAAATGAAACTATCTTTAAATTGGCAATACTTTCAATATTAGTTCGAAAGAGAAACATTTACTTCTTAGTATTGTACAAAGATCTTTTACTTAAAATCCTTTTTAACTTAAAATGCATTTGTAAATGTGAGCTAATTTCATGCACATTTTGCAGGAATTCTTAACAAATGATATGAGGAATTATGTAATTTTATCTATTTTTTAATATTCTCGACATATAATTTACTTTGTAGTATATGGGCACTCTCTTTTATGAACAATAACATCCATTAATTCTTATCACAGGAAAAATAACAACATGTCAAAACCACATGTGACTGAGTCTTTTGCACGACATATCATGACGGGAAAAACGTCACAAAGTTGAAAAATTGCCTCGTTGTCAAAAACATATTTTTGCATAGAGATATTTTCGAATAATACGTAGTTAAAGGTCCGTAACAAATTGTTATGTGGATTTAACATTTAGATTAGATATGGAACACGCCCCCCCCCCCCCCCCCCCCCCCCCACTATTTGCAACATAGAATAAATTGAACTCTTTTAAATATTAGTCTGTAACTGTCTTTTTAAGTGAAATCTCGAATTTAATGATAATATGGTGTCCAGAATAACCCAATATCTTACTCTGAAGTTTTACAGTTATAGAGAATTAAAACACACTATGAGATTTTTATAGTAAGTTTAGTTTTGAATTCTCTGAATTTAAAACTTTATTGTAACACCTGTTTAATATTGATGGTGAATGTGTGTAGGTATTAAAATGTATGTAGATAAACTAATTTGTGAACACAATATTCACGGGTTCTCTCTCTTTTAATTTTTTCCTGTTTGTAGAGGGAAACAAGAAAATCCCCGAATATTATTGCAGATTATGGCGACTTCCATTGGACCATGAATTCGTAGGTGGCGATTATTTAATTCCTATATGCTTTGATATTTGCTGCGGGAAAAATACTTCCACTCCTGACAATATACAGTTAATCTTTGTAACTCTTGTTATTTTTTTTTCACTGAGACTTATATAATCCTAATTCACAGTGAAGAAATTTGCATACATCTAATTGTCGTATGCATATTTCAAATATGCATCAAATGTCTAAATATAATGTCTTAATGAGTTGAAATTTTGAAATCCAAATTTTGTGGTCTAATGACTATTTTCAGAATGTAATGAAAGAATGTAACCATGAAAGATTTATTATCTTCGACGACTAACTATGAAGTTGTGAATAAGTCAAATGTGAGAGACAAAACAAAAAAAAAAAAAAAAAACCAAACAAAAAAATCATGTACATATATATAATATAATCATGCGAATTTATTTCATTTTGAAGATATTTTATCTAAATTATAAGGAGCAAACAAAGCAATGGCATTGGTTAATTATAATAATGATGTCTCTTAAATCAAAACTGCTTCCCATCAATATGGATGCTCCGATTGTTATCTGAAATTGAAAGGTATATGCGTCAAGCATGAAAAGGATTTAAAAAATCATCTCTAATAAGTATCATGTTAAATTTACAGTAACCGACTTCAATCGACATAATAATTACTAGTAATTCCTATTTCAGACAAAGAAAAAAAACCTTTCAATCCATATTATTATGAGCTGAAGCTCAAAGTTAACGTCATAATTTTGTTATATCTTATGATTATGTACTTATTATATATCTAATAAGTCTACGCGATGAAATTAAGAAAACCAAGAGACTTTTTGTTATACACAAGGTGTTAAACCACTGAAATGTATTCAATCAATTCCTTTCGCAGTGTACGTATTCAAAATAGCGGTACAATGTCACATCTGTTTGACGCTAAACTTTATGTAAAATGTACAATTATAAGGGTACAATAATTGTACAAAAGAGCAATTAAAGTAATTAAATACCTGGATGTGCATTCAAATCTGAGTTATCTCATATTTGGACAATATATAAAAGAAGTTTGAAACTTACCTATTCAACTTCATGTGTTTAAAAGGGTTGGTAAAATCAGAGAGAAACTCGCTAACGGGCTAGTATTATAAGAAACACATTTTTTTTGGTTTTGCTTGATCAATATATAGTGTTATGCTTATATTTGTGATAGTTTGTCTAGCACACCACGACGGAATGTCACCAAATAATGTTGCAATGTATATCTACTAAGTTTTCTATTTATGAAATGTTCTTTAGAAACGTGCTTACTTTTATTACCCTGGCCGCTTGCAAATACAAGTTGGACATCCGTTAGGGTCTATATATTGACCGTTTCTACAACGTTTTGTGCAAACAAGTGGACATTCAGCTGTCAACATACGAACGTATACATTTTAAGAATCTATGAATCGATATTTAGCAGTTTTGGAAAATAATATATCAAAATAGTATGACATATGTTTTTGTACATGTATCTCCTTACAAAAAAGAAGGCAGTGTGTGTTTTATCAATTCAAGTAGTAAATTTTGCATATTAAAATTAATTGTCAGATCATTACCTGTTCGACTGATTGTTCAAATATAATTTTATACATGTATAGTACTGAATAAAAGTCAATCTATATTTAGTGTGTTTCTGCAGAGATGCAAGTCATGTAATTTTTTTTTATATAACAGTAAAACAAATTGTAAAAACATGAACATTAGTTTAAAAAAAACACAGAATGGACAGAATAATCATCAATGGAAACATTCTGCTCATGTTTCTGATATCATCAAATTGTTAAGCCATTATTTTCTTACTAATTTGGCTGTGGATTTTTCCTATTACCCCATCATGACAAAAGAGCCTATGGCGGGTCCATGGCACCCGATCCCACTTCTTATGTTTCTAGAAGTCCGTTTGCCTCCCTCACAATTTTTACATTTGACATCTTCAAATTGTTAAGCCCATTATTTCCTTACTGAATTGGCTTTGGATTTCTCCTTTTACCCGAGCATAACTAAATGGCACACGGCGGGTACATGGTACCCGATCCCACTTCTTATATGTTTCTAGATGTTCCTCTACCACACAATTTGTATTGTTTCATTTGACTTTTTGTATGATTACCGTTATCTTAACATTTCATCTTAATGCTTACAAAAAAATTAATCGATTAACCCTAAAGTTGGTAAATCTGGTTGTTTTAAAGCCATCTGAATGAAAGATTTTTTTTTAAAAAGTGGGTTCTTCTATCAATTTAACATACGAATCAGTAATGAAATATGTTGCGTACACTAATTTACTTTACATGAATAATTTTTATGATATAAACAAAAAATGTCTTCGCTTTGAACTTTTGGGGATTTACGGTTACATACTTGCAGAAAAAATACATAACCCACTTACGCAGGTAATGCATTTTTTCTGCGTTGGTTGCAACCGTTAATTCTCGTATAAGCAAACATTGTTTAAATATTTAATGTTTAAACAACTTACGCGGATCTTAATTGAAATAATCACAGAAAGTGACATTTATCTAGCATTTATATAAATGTCGTTGAAAAATTAGTTAAATATACTAGCGTTGGATTTCCAGTATATTTAATTCTTTCCCGAATTAAATTATCTGTATTTCTTGACTATCTATGTTGCCATTTTATTCCACTACAAGAAAATATGCTTGCAATTAGAGTGATAAATGTGGGACGTCATTGGGAGCGTAAAAATGCACTTAGTTCATTAGTATTTTATGATCCCAAAGATGAAGCTCTTTTCAATCAAGTTATGTACTTCATTTTAACTACATATGAACGCAGACTTTATAAATACTTACGCTTTATCTTGCATATACACAATTCACATCCTTCCTTATCACGTACGTAGCCATCTTCGCATCGCATCTTACAGCGGGGTGGACAAGCTGTGGATAGAGTTAACAAAAATTGTTTTCTGTGAAACTGTTTGAGGAATTCTGTTTTTCTTGTGAAGAGTTACTACATTTTGCACCTTCGATTTCATTCCTATTTCAAACTTATGTCACCCCAACAAAGTCAGGGGTTGGGATTCACATATTGATATTCTTCCACATATAAGTTTGTCCGCTGAAGTTTTTGGGGATTGTTAGAAAAATCTTAGTGGAACTTCAAAATATTGATAATTACCAAGTCTAGTTGTACACTTAAAATTTAATTTTATCAAAATATTAATGAAAACAGAGGGAAATATTAACATTTTACTTTCATGTTCTTGTTCTTGAATTTATGTGTTTATTATTTTTATAAGGTCAAACCGAATTCTGGGAAAATATTATCAGGTTTTACAAACTTTGGCAATGTAACCACGGAAACAAAAAGTTCGATTTCTTCATCTAAAAGAAATACTTAATATGAGGTGTATCTCTTCAATCTTGCAGTATTTTAAATTTATAAAAATAACTGCGTTGCTATGGAAGCAAAAGGATATATTTCTAAAAAATTGTATTTTTGGCAGGTAAGTACGAAGTGATCACTACGCTTTTATCTCTAATGAACAGTTCAGTGACATAATCTTTTGCTGTAATAACAGAGTTTCTACAGTACTTTAGATTGCCTTCTTGAAGATATTGGCCATAAGGATTATATTGGAATGTAAAGACATTTAGCTACATGTATACATGATTCCCAATCTTGACCCCTATTTAAATTCTACATCTGGAGATCTACTTATACTCACAGTTCAATGTCTAAAGATTTCATATATTCTTCAAAATCACATATCAGTGTTTCATACTTTTATAATTCGAGTCAACGAAGGTGCGTTCGATCTACCCTACCTACACTGGATTTCTAAACTTCATAAAAATTCAGTAAGTGCGTAAGTGCTCTACAAAGCCCCAATCTTTACTATTCACAAGAGTATTAACTGCTGTATAGGAGAAACTTCAGACGTACTGTGCTACAGCATATTCTGAATGTGGATTTTCAAAACTTATTAAGAACTTTTAGAAAACTTATCATTTTTGATCACAATATTTTGCAAAAGTTAGTAACGTCAAAACGTATGACTTTCTACAACCATTCCTTACGATAAATTAAACTAACCATTATAGATGTTATTATAGATGATTGCTCATCGACAAAATTACGTAGTTAAAATCACTCTGATTCTACACACAAGCACTTTGAAGTAGATATTAAAAAGATGCTGGAGTTCCTCATTGACAACATCTATGTCGTCATTGGAGACCACCACAGAATCTACACATCTGTTCCATATGTTGTACTGACTAAAGACAATAAGGGCGAGCTAATAACTAAACTGTATGACAAACGTGAAGATCAGCTTTCTCATCGTCAACTTTCCTTATTTATGTAGTGATATTCCACTATCAACTGCATATGGTATTTATATCTCAAAACTTATTCGATACTCACGAGCATGCTCTCGGTACAATCCGGTTCTATAATTGGGTTGTATTTAAACTGACGTATTTCATACCAATTTTTAGGCCTTTGATTTTATTCTTAAGTTGACTACGATATATTCTGTATATAGGGCTCACGGCGGGTGAGATCGGTCGACAGGGGATGCTTATTTCCCATGGCACCTGCTCCCATTTCTGGAATTTCCAGGGGTCCGTGTTTTATGCCCTGTTCACAGATTTGCAAGATTTGTCTTTTCTTTCTTTTTTTTTTTTTTAGATCGATCAATCTTATCTTCACCTATTTCATTCAATTTATGATTGGTCAACTTTTCATCTACATGTATTACAGAAAAAACCCATATTATATTTATTCCTAACATGTTTTAGATTTATTACCCTTTAAGACAGCATAAAACTGCTGTACTACACTTCTGTATTCTACTTTGGTAACATTACTAAGCCTGTTGTCACAGTTAGACCAGACTTGAATCTAAAAATACTGTAACAGCAAATACTATTTGTTAAGCCTATGTCCCTTACCTTTTCAAATATAAAACTTTGATATTCAATCCTGCTCTGGCATCAATAACTTGATTCTACTAACTACATAAATGTTTTAGCAAACACGTAGAAATTTTACTGGGCACCTCCTTAGCACCCTCCTTTGAAAAAAAAAAATCAAATGATCTTTTTCCAACTGTGAATGTTCCCTAACATTAGGTATATAGCTATAGTTATAGTTAACTAATGTAAATACTTTGATTTACAATGAAACTTTGGGACTTTTTTTGAGATTCATGGTCTTTTAAAATAATTTCAAATCTTTATTTTTTTAATCACACACCAATGATGAAATATGATGATAAAGAACAGCAATCAAGCTCAAAAGTCCATTGGAATAATACAAATTGGGAGCAGAGCAAACACAAACTCCTAAAAACATCAGAGGTGGGATCACGTGTCATTGAGGAGTAATTATCTTCTGGGACCGGCCACACCAGTCGTGTGCTCCTTGCCATGATCGGAAAAAAGGAAAAGTCCGTAGACAGTTCAGTGTGGAAATAATGACCAAACAATTTGTATGAAAAACTTCAATCAACATTTGACATAACAATAGATTGAATTTGCTAACAAGGCCTTTGTATCGACTATAGAATTTACGTAATATTGACTTTAAACGAGACTGTAGATATCCTTATATCATTGACTTAATTGTCAAAAACTTGCCTTGTATTAGAAATTGTTCGTACGTAAAACATGCTCTTGTGTATGGAGTCAACTGAGAGAAATATACTCCATATGCAGTTGATAATAGTATATTGCTACATTCATGTAAAGAGGGAAGTTGAAGTCATCATTTTATCATAAAGTTTTGTTATGAAACAGGCGAATCAGATTCTATGGTGTCTTTTATTTCGAGTTAAAAGAGATTCATCGAATCAGTGTAGGATTGAAAATGAATATTCAATTGATTAAACATCGTCGATATATCTAAATGTCGACTTATAGGCCACAGCAAGTGTTTTCCTCTTCTCATGTAGAAAATTTGAACAAATTCTGATTCATTCGAATAGAAAAAAAGTTCCGCAATTTGTACACATGAGAATTCCAACAGATTGTTTGAAGACTCTATGTCTAAAAATGTCAAATATATTGTCATTCATCAACTCAAACATCTTAATATCAACTTCGGGGTTCTTGTGTGTATAATCAGAATGTTTTTTAACAAAATAATTTTGCAGATGGCCAATATAAACTTCAGAAATAACACGTAATATCCCAATAATATTTCATTTTATTAAAAACAAATTGCACGTAAGAAGACTTGGAGAGAAAAAATACAACAATTTGAAGTTCAGAATAAAACTACTTCGATTTTTCAAAATATAAACTTTGATTTTCCATTGTAGAAACGTTGATACTTTAGTAAACTATAGCTTACTATAGTATTTTTTGTAAGGGCTAAATGCTTGCATACTGATCGCCGTCCTTTGTTTTTTACAATAAAATTTAACCATTATGCATATATCTAAATGTCTTTTGGGTAAATTTTGTTAAACAGATCTAGTTGCTCGCAGAGAAGTGATGTTGAAAGGTTAAAGACAACTAATGGAGGAGAACAAAAGATTTTTCAATTGAAAAAAAAACTGCTTAATTTTCCAGTTCAAGTTTTAAAATACATATTAATGTAAAAATAGTATTATTTGATGGCATTATAAAAGTCAGTAGAATTTTTTAAAATTCAAAATCAATCAGTTTTGTACACAAGGATATTTTATTGTGACACGTAATATCATATATTTTTTACAATATTTATATTAATATAGTAATTTTACAATACCAAGACTATTCTACAAACTCACGTTTCGTTCTGCATGCACAAAGTTTACATCCGTTCTCGTCATGAGCGAATCCATATACGCAGCCAAACTTAAGCTTACACATAGGAGGGCAGGCTATAATGTTTAACAGATAAGCATAAAACTTTAAATAAGGTTTAGGAAATCATATTAATAAAAGAAAATTACCATTCAATAAATTTATATTTACGTTTCTGCTGTAAGCCACCATCAGAAAAAGAGACTTTCAAGAGAAAGATAAATACAGCGACAAGTATGAAATATTCCAGTCTCCTGATTTCTGGGGCACTTATTGAATATGTACTGCACCTGTTAAGAGATTCTAATTTATACAGTTTTTGATATTGCGTAGTTGAACGCTGATTAAGGTATTCGAGGAATTATAGAGGGATACTCACTATTTTCAGTATGTAATCAACTTTAACAATTCAAACGTTATAAGAACAAATATTGTGAAATGAATATTATTTGTGGATAGAATCCTTTAATTAACATTCAGTGTTAATTAGGAGAGCTCTTGAGAATCTGTAATGAATCAAATTCTCTAAAATTAAAAAACTTTAAAAGAATTGATCTCTGATCTCTTTTTTAATTTTTTTTTTTCAAATACGAATCTCTTTTCTTGTATATAGCTTGACTTTGTGATTTGATCCTTATATAAGAGAAATAAATGAAGTTGACAAATGTACGTTTTGTTGTTTTATAAATTCGATTATAAATTCATATCATTCAAAGTCCTTTGCATTTGTGAAAAAATGAATCAGTAAAATTTACAACTACTTTTTTCATTGTAATATCATTGAAGTATCCCAGTTTAAGTGTTTTTGCATTTTTTTTTTCTTTAAGCATTTTGTTTACGAGAAGCTGTTGTCCAGGAATTGTTTGGTTGCTTGCAGTTATATTTTTCTAAACTGAATAAGGACAATATTCTGTTATATTCGGAGAAATTATTTTTAAATACCATTCAACCAAATGAAAACTTTAATCAAGTATTAGAAAAATACACTATTCAAAGAAAAAATCTAGTTTTAAGTCCACAAAACTGGGTTTTTTATTTCAAATTCCTTTCCTCTTCTTTTTCAAAAATGAATTTATATTTGTATATGAAGTTTATGTCTCCCAGGTAATTCGACACATGATCTTGTTAAGATAATGTTTTAAAACGAGGCAAGCTACTCTTATTTTCACTGACAATTTTGACTACCAATTGTTAGGATATTGCTATTGCTCTATTCATGATTCTTTTTGTTTAGTGGTTTAGATTATAAAAATTGGGGCAAGGGTGGGGTTAAAATCGTGGAACAAATACAAAAATATATTAGAAAATAAATCTTCTTTAGAAGGTTGCATCAGTCATACTAATATTAAGACCCTTGTGTATTTTCAAGTTTGTTAAGGTATTCAATGTATAACGACCATAATTTGTATCTAATATATGAACGGTCCTATATTTGTAATTATGGTATCATTTTGAAGGTGTTATAAAATAAAAATACTCCACCAAAGAAAATTACAAAAAATTGATTATTGTCAAATTAATTGCACCTTGAATTTTACATTGAAGTCTATGGACAATGCATGTGTTATTAAGATATTATAAAAAGTAATTTGAATTTTATAAAAAGCTCTTGGTGAAAATATGCATACACTTTCTCTTTATTAAAATATGAAATAAAATTAATCAATTACCGCAGATATTTTGACGAAATTAAAATTTTCTTCTTTGCATCAACGGCAGATAACTCTTCAAAAACTTTCAAAGTGCAAAATGACCAGTTTCTTATATGTTATCCGTCATGTGAATTTGGTTCATTTCACTTTCATCGTTATCTAGCAATACATTTTTAATTAGTTTAAAATGATTCAAAATTGTTCAAAATCCCTTCATTATACATTGAATACCTTAAAGTCATGTCAATTGAGATAAGGATTTGGACACAATATGGAGCAAATGTTTCATGGCAAAATAGAGGTGAAGATTATTTACAATCTGCTGAAGAACAGCAGTGTTAAGGTGATATAGGTGAGCACACACGGGCCTTTTGTGTATAATATACTTGTTACAGCTAGAGACCAATTGTAACTGTCTTTACCATGCTACAACTTCTAAGTCTTGTAAAGAAATTGCTACAAGGCCTTTATGAAGTGTTCCACAGACTGCTAAAACAACTGGGATAAAGAAGCGTGCAAAGCAGCATGCAACTTTGGTTACATGACCTTAGATTAAGGTTTCAGTGTCTGTAAGTTAAAAAGTGATAATTTTTTAATATTTTTTTTTTGTTTTTGTTATTTTTTTGAACTGTAGTATTAAATTCAAATTTAAGCATCAGAGAGGGAAGAAATCTGTTATAAGAGATGTATATTTTTTTAAACAATATTACAACAACACAAAAACTTTGATTACTAAATAGACCCTTAATTATTCTTAATCTTTCAGAGATGTATGATTTTGATCCTTTTGTTTCAAAGAGCTAGGTTCACTTTATGCATAAAATGGCCCTGTCCTTATATCAATTAATTGGCTATCACCCTCTGTCCTATTTCATATATCAAAATAAAGTAGAGACTTAGTGCTTTTATTTCCTACGACAAAATTTCTTTTTGAGAATCCAGGTATTGGAAAACAATCTTTGAGAAAATGCAATGTTCTTGAATTTTGCAGAAAACATGCGTATTTGACTACCTTCAGCAAAGAATTAAAATATGAGCACAACCCACGATCCAAAAATTAAAACATGTTTTGTGATCTTTAGAAATAGATCTTTCATTATGTGATTGCATATTTTGGATCAGAGGTTGTGCTCTATATGAAATATTGAAAAATACCTCAACTTTTGGCCATTTTTAAGGACGTTCGATCCTGAGCTTTTGAGCAGATTTTGGTCTGGAGCTTTATTTCTAAAATTCTGAATAATTTTTAAGTTCTAACATTAAATCTGGATTCTACAATGCAAATTATACTATATCCAATGAAAAAAAACGCGATTAAATTCAATTCAAAAAGGATTAAGCCAGGAACTATATTTTGTGGCGGAAGATTTTTTAGAAGAAAATGATCATTTTTTCCCTTTTGAAATATATACAGTACTGTTAAGTTTAGATTCCTATTTTTCCATGCTGGTTGCACACAGAGCTATTTTGTGCATTGAAATGTTTAATGCTGGTTCTAAAATATTAAATAAATCAGTTTTTGTGAATTCTATCATCATATTGTGACAAATATAGAAAATATATTCTGAAACTCCAGGAAAAAATTGAGCCAATTTTATCACAAAATTAACAGTTTTTTAGTAATATTTAAAAAATAACATCATAGACCTCCACTTTTGATTTTCTTTTCTGAATATATAAGATAACTCTGATCAATCTACTTAAATTCAGCAAAAGTTTAAGACTTTAAAATATTTTCTTACTTGTTAAATTTTTAATGCCCGAAAAATGACATTTTTTGAGCGCAGAATGGTCAAATAATTGATTATGCGAAGCAATTTGAAAATTTTTCTTTGTCACAATTTTAATGTGTCTTTTTTAAGAGAGAATAATAGCATACTTTGTCCCATGATTTATTTGGATAAAAAATATTGGAGGGAAAACGTCGAAGATGTTATTTTTGATTAAGACACAAAGTCAGTGCAAAAAGGTCATTTTAAATGTACTGTAGCGCCAAAAGAAGCATATTGACCCCCATTTTTTGTTTTGATTTTTAATTAAGCTATGTGTGTACAAGCTAAAAATATACTTGACAAAAAAAAGTTTGACTTTAAATATCAGGATCCAACGTCGTTAAGGGAATTTACAGGATATTGGAAAAATGACGCATTTTATGACGTCATAATGCAGGAACCAGAGAGAAAATTACGTCATGTTCAATAGATACACGGTGACCAAGGGTCCAAGTTATAAATACTGCATTTTCCACCAATATTGAGCAGTTTCAATTTTTCAGAAATTCTCAGGGCCAAAAAGGCCCTAAGTGGCTCTTGCTCTTTGCATTCTGTAAAACCTTTGGTCTGTAAAACTTATTGCTACTTTATCATTCTATTTCATGTCTGCAGTATCTGTTCCCGGACGTAATATTTTGCTCCGGGAAATCTGATTTTTACTTTTTTTTTTCGATGACCAGCTGCTGTCCATGAATTGTTTGTTTGCTTGCAAGTATGATTAATTAAATTACAGCAACACTGTGGCAACATGTGGTCTAAAAATGATTGAAAATTATTATAATTTCTAAATACTGTACAATAAAATTAGGGCTTAGAAAGTACAATAATTATTATTACAAACGTATTTCATTTAGAAGAAATAGTTTATGTTGTTTGTTCATTCAGACAAGATTTCTTTTCTTCAAAAGAGAAGAATACGAAATTTTCTTCATTAAATATTTAAAATTGCTTTATCAATTTATCATTCAGAAGGCAAGATTTTATCTGTGGTAAAATTTTCGACAATCAAGCATATTATACGTATAACAATATTTAGATATCATTATGTCACTTAAACCTTTATCAAATTTGAATGATGCAAACGAATTTATAAGTTTAGACTCACGTTTTTTTTTCTAAAATAAAATGTATTAAAATAAAAATCAATTTCGTTAGTCTAACACAAAATGCGACTAAATACGTTCAATTATCATTTCAGCACACAAAGGAAAAAACTGATTCCCAATCGATTTTTTGAGGAGCACGTGTTATACATACAAAATGGAACTGACTTAGTAGGACAGAAATCAAATCCCTCATTTCAGAGCAGGATTTCATATTTGCATTGTACCTGACTCTTTTTAGTATATTTTTAGGTGTAGTTTTTTTAAATCACCAAGAGAATTTCTGATATTGCTTAGTCCTTCCAAATGAAGTATGTGATATTATACATCATGATATTATAAGATGAATGAGTTATTCCGAGCGTTTACAAACCTTTTGATGTAGGATCCAATTTGAGAAAATGTAAACTAAAGGGTCACAGACTTACCACAAGAATGATCGAGAGACTGAAGTCCTCAATAAGCGCTAAGCTATACTATAAAAAGCTGTACAATTAGTCCCGGACAATCTGCAATATATTTCTTTTTCTCCATATTTCATTTTACTACCAGTGCCTTAGAAATGTTTTATACTTGACATTGTAACCTCCGGTCTTATGAATTACGCATTTTCTGATGGTCTCGTGCAGAAAAGTAATCTAATAATGATAATTTTGGGACCCTCTGTATTCCAACTAGATCCTTTACTTCTACTCCTCTCTCTCTC